AGTTAACTTACTATTAATATTATATTTATCGCCCTAATTACTATCCGTAAAGCTATTAATCTCGCCCTTTCTATTATTACGATAGTATAGAATATCCTAGGAACTTATCCTAGCTAGATATTTATATAGATAGTTTATATATTAAATTATAATCTTAGAAGGATTCGCGTTAAACTATATAATCTTAGAATAAGTATAAGCGATATCTAGCCTAGTTTGATTAGTTAGCTAGGCTATAGAACTATTTATCTCCTAGAAACGCTTAAGATCCGCCTATCTATATTAATCCTCGCGCGGTACGAGAACGACCTTATTATTAAATAGGATTCTTATAGGGCGACTTTCTAGGTAGCTAAAACGCTCTAGAATAGACTAGTAGTAGTCCTTTTAATAGATAAAGATCTTAGATTATATACGTAGAATCTAAATACTAATAAACGTCTATAAATCTCTAAAGTCTCTTAACTTATAAGTACTTAATAGCTTAGCTTTTATATACTCGATTATCTTTCTATTATTAGAGAATAAGACTAAATTATCTACGTATAAAATAATAACTACTCTATTCTAGTTAACGAATACCGATTAATCGCTCTAGTAACGCCTAAACCCTATTATAACTAATTTATAAGAGATATTTAACTACTATTTACGCGGTAATTAATAGAGACTAAATAGCGCTTTAATAAGCTTATAATAGATACTATTCTCGCCGAATCTAGTGAAATACTATATATAAATAGTCTTAATAAGATAAGAGTTTAGAAACGCGTTAATAATATCTAGTTATATATAATATAAGTCCTTAACGTAGATAATAATAAGGAATAATCTAATCGATCTAGAGCGGGCTATAGATATATAGATATCGTTATAATCGATATCGCGAATCTATTTATTTCTATAGATTATTTAGCGAGTCTTTAAGCGATCTAGCTTCTTAATAAGTACTTAATAGCTTATTAAGATATTTATACTAGATTACTTATCTATTACTATCTAGATATCGTTATTAATATAAGTCTAATACTACTATTTAATTATATACTTCTAGCGATTATAATTAGATCCTTTTATTACCTAACTATAAGTAATAATCTTATACTCTATAATAGCGATAATATTTAGGTATTCCTATATAAGATTTATAGTATTCTCTCGCGCTTTAAGCGATAGCTTTATAGCTCTCTTACTTTATCTAGATTAAGGAATCTACGGCGTAGATAGACCGGATATAGAAGGCGTAGTCTAAGATTATATAGGAGATATAGATAGCGTAGAACCGATCGGTAGGACTATAACCTTAAGTAGTATAATTAGTAACGATAAACGCGTAAGAAGCTTAATAATTATATCTTATTACTCCTAAATAGGCTATTTAATTAGTATTATAACCTATAGTAGATCTAGCGGTTCTTTACGTAAATAATTACTATAATTAACTAATAGTATATCCTAGATATCTTTATCTATATCGAATTTCTTATTAATCTCTAACGGCGCGAGATAGTTATAATTATCCTCGTTAAAGACTACGTCTCTAGCGCGAATAACCTTACGCGATTTAAGATTATATACCTAATAAATCGTAGTCGAACCGCCGTAACTTACTATTATATATAGGCGCGATCTATCTATAAACTTACCTTAACGGCGCTCTTTAGGAATATATATAAACGCGCGCGATCTAACGATTTATAGATAGTCTAGATTAGGTTTCTCGCTATAGTAGCGTTCGAATAGTATTATACTAATAGATCTATTAGGGCTTCTATTATATAAATAGATAGCGGTTTATAAAACGTTTTTCTATAGGAATTATAGTAGCTTTGAGTCCTTTAATATAGTTCTTATCTTACTAAATAAGGTACGATTAAGACGTTTAGAAACACTATTAGATTTAGAGCTATATAGAATCGTTCGCTCCTAATAAATATTATAATCCTTAAGATATTTAATAAGAGTAGAATCTTTATATTCTCCCCTATTATTAATACGAACTATAATAACTAGATTACTAGTAATAGCTATATATTAAACGAAATACTATATCTATTATACGGCCTTAGATTTAGTCTTTAGGAAGAATAGGATAACGCGGCGCGAATAGTTATTTATAATAGTTAATACGTACCGATTACCGTAAATTAATAGCTTAATTAGCCCTACTAAATCGCTATAGATAAGCTCGTTAATCCGCGTAGCTTTACTACTAGTCTATCCTTACCTAGGAGTTCGAGATTAGTTAGTAATAATATAATCCTCGTAGGATTTACTAAATAAATCTATAAAGGAAACGCTAGTCGCTATACTCCTTAACTTCTTAAGGTAATTAATCGATAGATAATCTATTCTATAATACTATAGCTTAGCTATATCGCTATCCTTTATTAATAGAGTCGAGACCGAATTCTCCGCGTAGATAGTTACTAAAGATAATACCTCGTCTATAGTACCTAGGAGATAACGACGACTAGATTTAACTACGTTAGCGATTCGTTTACTATCCTTATAAAGTCTAGTAACGGGTAAGTTATAAGTCTATTCTAGGATAGTTACTATTCTTTATTCTTTTAAGGCGTAAATACTAAGTAAATTAATATTTAAATCTAGAAAGTACTAAACGTTATTAAAACGGATAGAAACTTTCCTAATATCTAGATAGTAATTAATAATAATATCGCTATAATCTTCTATCTCTATAGTATTATAATCTACTAACCTCGCTATTATCGATCCTAGTCTAAAATTAATAAAATTAGTACGCGAATAGATTATATAGTAATTTATATTACTATTAATTAGAAAGTCTTATTCCTTAGTTACTATCGCGATAGTAATTAAATTAATAAAATAGAAATAGATAGACTTTATATTAGCTCTTCTATCGGTTTAATCTCGTATCGTAAGACCCTTAAGAAGATTAATAATATTAGAGAATAGATCGCTAAAGAAAACGTTAATATTAGCGGTATTATCCTTATTAGATCTCTTCTCTTTATCCTTACCTTTACGACTACTTTATTAATCGTCGATAATATAATCTAGATTAGTAGAATAATACTTCTAATTATAATTATTAGTCTTATAAATTCTATACTTAAATCTCTTATTTTTATTCTTTTCCGCGTTAATATCTCTATTCTTAGACTTATCCTTACGTTAATTCTTACTCTAGTCTTAAGTCTTAAAAATATTAGCCTAATTACTATTACCTTCACTAGTAGACTAATTACGCTTCCGTATATCGAATTAAAAGACTTATTAAACCGTATTATTAAAGATAATAGTATTAATTATCTTTTATAATAGCTATAATACTATTAATTTATAACTATTATTAAGATCGCGTAGAAATATTAATATCTAGAAATTATTATTAAGCGAATACTTTAGTATTTCGAAACTTATTCTATTAGCGCGAATCTTATTAATATACTCCTTAAGACTTTTAAACTATTTAAGATTATAACTATTAATTAAGATAGTCTAGCGATAGATAGCTATAAGGCCTTATTACTTATAGAATATCTTAAGCTTTTTAAGTATATCCTTCGCGGTCTTTTTATTAATAATTAACGGTTAGATATACGGTATATAGAGATTATAGATAACTCTTTTAGTCTTCTTATCTTATATCTACTACTTCTTAAACTTAGATATTTCTTTACCTAGCTAGAGGTCCTTATTAGTAGTAAGGATATCCGTAGAAAAACTATCTTTAGGTCGAGAATATCTTAAGGATAACTAGATAGATATTATAAGTAATTATATCTCTAAATCTAAGCTCTTAAGGTCCTCGACTTTATCCTTTATAATAGCGATAGTATAGTACTCCTCTAAGCGTAGAGCTATATAGTATAAAGAAATCTATATCGAATAGTTCGATTTTCCTTATAGGATTAGCTTCCTACTATTTTTATTATTTTAGTAATTCTCCCCTATCTTTTAGTGCGTTTATTTATATTCCTATCTCTTAAAATCCACCTCTTTAGCTAGTAGCTAACTATCGTACGAGATAAGGGATAAGCGAGGTATAGATAGAGAGAAATACGGGCCTAATAGTAGGGTAGTGGCGCTACTAAAACCGTAGTAATAGCTAACGATTTTTAAGCTTTTTAATAGCCTAATAAGTGCTTAATTACTAATAGCTAATTACTAGCTAATTAATACCTTAAATAAGCTAGGAAACGTTAGTCTTAACCTACTAACCGGGCTACTTCTTAAGGGACCTCGCGGGTATTAAGCGAGCGACGGAGGAGTGGCTAAACTTATAGCGGCGCTATAGCTATAACTAACTAAGGTAGAGTTACTATCTCGAAGATCCGCGATTCTCAAGACTTAATAACCTCTATAAACGCTTTACGTAAGTAATAAAAGGCGCTCATAACCTATAGAATTAACTGAATTAATTGATTGTCTAACTAGTAACTATCGAAGGTGGAGAGACTAGGTGGTAATAAGTGCCGTAGTGTTACTCGCCTAACCTGCCTAATGTAGGTCGGATCGGCTAACCTTCCCAATAGGGTTAGGGCAACAGTCTGGGGATAATGTTACACGTAAACCATGCTCCTTAAGGTTGAGGGGTCGAACCATTCAAGCATCCGCCACCCACCGCTGCATGCCCTACTTGACCAGGCTTCTCCAGTCTCCGCAAACTCGGGATTCTGACTTGGCATACGAACGAGTCATATCCATCTCTTTTTGGACTTGACCCTCGAGTGTTTCCAAGGAAGCATACATCAGAGCGCGCAGCAACTGCCCAGCTGCGATGCTGCTATCCTCTTACGGAGACCCGAGTGCAGGATTATCGTCCTGATGGCATCGATTCAGGACACGGGTAGTGGCGAACCTGGCTGGAGTGCTTCGAATATCACCTCTCCCGTTCAAAGACGGAAACGGAGCTCTAGAGCTTGTCTTAACTGCCGCATTCGAAAGGTCCGCTGCGATGTCACACAGACCGGAGTGCCTTGTACGAACTGCAAGGTTGACATACAGCCATGCGCTATTCCAAGGAGATCGAGAAAGCAGTGAGTTATTTTCCCCTTCCATGTGCATAATGACTCTGGGATTTTGATCACATATAGTCGGATATCAAGCGAAACGTCGCCACACCCTGTGCAGCTCAGCAACCAAGGTCTGCACCACGATGGTTTTGCTACGCAGAATGGAAACACGCTCCAAGATGAAGTAAATGTAGGCAGTGGACAGCAACGACCTGCGGGATCATTGAGTGTCCGCGTGCTCGAAGGATCATCACAGTTCGGTCACTTAGGGGAAGAGAGATGGCAGCTTCTTCCAGAGCCGACGTCGGATGAAGCACTTCCAACAGCGCCGAACATGGCATGTATGAGGGATATTCCGCCATCAGCCGCCACTCCACAAGCCGACATCCCTCAACTTCCGACGTTTCAAGCTAGATATTTGGCTTCTGAGGATTCAACAAGCTCTCCGCAAACGCCTAACCATGGGACTGATGCAGTACAAAACTTCGAAAGACCATCGAATTCGAGAGAATGTATAATTGCGGCGGCCTACCCCTTCCTGGACACTGATTTCGTCTCCCGGATACCGACTGAAGATTTCGAGTATCTCGATCACATTGGCTGTTTCCAACTACCTCAGCAGAATTGCCTTGATGAACTCGTTCAGGCATACTTTCTTTATCTCCATCCACATTTACCAATGATCGATGAGGGAAATTTCTGGGAGACATATCTGAGCAGTCAATCGGGTTCTCACCACACTGCTCGCGTTTCTTTGTTTGTCTTTCAAGCAATGATGCTAGGAGCGTGCAGCGTGAGTCTCTGCCTATTCCCACCTACCCTGCGTTATGATTCATTCTTCTGAGTCTGTGCCAGTATTCGTATTTCGTAGGGTCGTGCTCAAAGAAGGTGCTGATTTGGACCAAAGTTTGTATCCTTGTCGACGATTCAGGATCTAGGCTTCCGGAGTGTACGCGAGGCACGCTCGGTCTACTATCGCCGCGTCAAGGTAGGTTATAAGTTGTCCCTCCTCATTCGCTCACATGACTTATGTCTTCATAGGCCTTGTATGATTTCGATACTGAGAGAAGCGACCTGGCGAAAGCTCAAGGGGCATTACTGATGACATTCCACGTACCACTCAACCAGCCACAGATCAATACCTACTGGCTGCGCATAGCCACTCAGCTTGCCAAAATGGACGGCGCAGATCGATACTCTGCGTATGCAGGTCCAGACTTCGCGAGACACAATCAGCTAAAACGGGTCTGGTGGAGTTGTATAATCCGAGAAAGAACTATGTCACTGGGGCTTCGCAGGCCCATATCTATTTTGTCGTCATGTTTCGACGAAGTATGGCCACCGTTGACAGAAGACGACTTGAAGAGCGAAATCGGCCGATCATTCGTGCGCAGCGTCCCAGCCAAGATGAAGCTACTACAATCTCTGTCGGCCCTATGCAAACTCTGTGCTGTCCTCACCAACATCCTTCAGATGTTGTATCCCGCTAATGGCGCCCAAGCATCTGGAGATCGTCTTGATCTTCTGAAGCGCATTTACACCTATACAGAGGAGCTGAATGAATGGTATGACGGAGTAGCCAGCAACATCGGGCCACATGACCAACACGACAAAATCTTTGGTGTTGTCACTCTCTACACGAATCTTCTCACCATCTACTTCCAGTAAGACAGAATCCTTTATGTGCCACCGACACTTAAGAACTAATCGCGCTCCAGTTCTGCAAAAGCCGCTTTGTGCAATTATCGTATCATGCTTACACTGAACAAGCCTGCGCAATACAACTTTGAACGACTACAGACAAAAAACGAACTTCAGGATGCCCTACGCGGCATTGCGCGGAGCTTGCGGGCGATTATAGATGCCGGCATGATAACTTACTCTCCCGTTAGTATGTAGGTTTTGAGATGCTCCCTAAAGTGAATTGCACTAACGCCCACTTCAGGGTGGCTTTCCTAGCCCTGCCCTCAATATGCTACAACCTGGATCTGAGCAGCCATACAAACAAGCAAAAAACCATCCGCAGCCCTGGAACCAATATCTACCAAGATTTTCTCCGAGCGCTTCAGTTGAGATACGAAGGTACAGATAGGGCTCTCAACAATATGTCGAAACTAGTAGGTCACATGGATTTAGAGGACGTAACTTCGCCGTCAACGGCACAAACCAGATCCGAAAACAATGCAACAGGGCACAAAGAGTTTGACCGCATTCTTGGGATGTCGGCTCCTGCAAAGAGAGGGGGCGGCATCGATATTGTGACCTCTGACCCACAGAAGTACATCCAGATGAGCCAAACATTGGATTTCTTTCTGTCGCGTGGTCGATTCCCCACGAAATACGACAACCCACCAGATCCTGTGTCGTCACCAGTCGAAAGTCACGGGTCGCCCAACCCGCGCCCAATGGACGACTTGGTGGTTGGGCAAACGAGCAGCACCGTGGAAAGGTCCCAACGCGCTGGGGATGCAGATTTGCCCGGTCACGCCATTGCCGATCCCTCCATCTGGCCAGCTTCATCCACAGGCTCGAACAGCTTGCTGGCACCGGGGGGAGCTGGAACGGGCAGCACGGAGCTATCCACCATGCTCACGGATGACGCCTTTGACCAGGCCGCCTCCAGTCTGGGCTTCTCTTTCGAGGACTTTATGACGGACGGGCCGGATTCGGGTATTGAGCGACTGCAGAACATGCTCTATACATACCCCGATTGGCCGTGACGGCCCAAGTGGGTGATTACAGGATTTCAGTCGGCACATATGAGTCAAGAGCAGGGCAGATCTCGAGGGAGATAAAAGCCAACGTCCTGCTGGTCTGGAGCATGATATATCAAGTTCCAAATTTGTACAAGGGCCAATGTGTACTCGGACTAAAACGGCTTGCGAGCGACGCAGCATGCAATCTGAGCATTGAGCTGGACCGTCTCTAAAGATTGAGGTGCGTTTGATTACAGCGACGGCTTTCAACTCTGCTGCGAAACCCCGTCGGATGCCTTGGCTATCGACGCCATGACCATGGCGATTGCTCCCAAATCCTCGCCAACGATCACTAGCATTAACCTGTGACCTTGAGGCTCCTTTTGGGTATTGAATTCCATTACATTGCTGGAGGATGGCAACTTTGCATTTAAAGTCTGCTTCTTCTCTGCCTGTTCTGTGTCTAGAATTCGTTCATCATCCTCCTGCCCTCTGCGTCAAGTCCTGCCGCCTCGAAAGGCGTGCTGAACTCCCACACTCCAGCCTCGATCAAGCCCTGCTCAGGATCGCGCAGCCGCACCTCAGAAATTTGCTTAGTCAGGGCTCAGGTCAAGTGGCGAGTTGCTCAGGTCCAGAAACGGAAACGCACTTTGGAGAGGTCAAGACTCGCCGCTGAGTATAATGGTAATTATGCTCATAGCTAGTCGAGGCCTAAAGGGCCCCCAAAGCCCGAACTAGCTTCCGAGAACGGGTATTAGACGAGCTCCCTACGGCTCGTCCAGTACTCGGGCGCGCTCCTCCGTATGTATTCCGCCGTGGCTCCCACGAGGCTCTCCCGTGCTCGGCCGGGCATCCGTTACGTGCCCGAGTAGAGCGGCCTCGCTCCCTTTCGTGAACGAAAAAGGTAAGGGATGAAGCACAGTTCGGAGCATATTATATATATACGTGCGTGGTAAGAGTTGTACTTGGATTTGCTCAGGTAAATAGTCAGGCCTGGCCGGTAAAAGTAATTCTGGAGGAGTCATCGAGTACCTGTCCTTTACCTTCTGTCTTCCTGCTCCATGATCAGTGGTTATTGGGTTAAATCCTCAAGTCTCACGTTCATCCATGTTGGCGTCTGTGAAAGCATAGGTGGCTATTACTTACCCAGAGAAGACTTAGCCATCAGCCATCAGCCGTGTAGAGGTGTATCCTCTCAAGCTAAGTCCCTGTGTGTGTCTGTCTCTCTCCCCCCACTCATTGCCGCCTCCCCACGAGGATTGTACCACTGTTGGGGAAGTACCGAGTAATAATAATAGTGGTGTTAGTGGTGCGTACTCTTGCGATATCGGCCCCAGGTCCCCATGAGGGGCATCACCGATTGAGCGGCGACCGGCTAATGACGCCGTACAAACGTTCATCCACATCCACCTCCAGCATCACCGTTGCAGCGGAGCGGACAATGCCCGTGGGGAAAGCCTACTGAAAACTCAATGGATCATTTGCCGGTGAGGACAGGTGTACGGAGGATATATATGATATACGTGACGTATAGTTGGCTGGCTGACTGAATGATTGAATTGACATCTTTTTCATGATATTGTTTACAAAACAAACTGCGCGGGCGCACAGATCAGAAGCAGAAAAAGACGGATAGTGGGTATTTGTGAGAGAGATCTCCAGGGATCCCCATAAGGACAGAAACTTGGGAGGAAGAAAGGAACCACTACAACACCTGGCGATGGCAACCCTTCGCCTCGCGGCGTGGACCACGTCTCTCCAACTCAGCGACCTGCCCGCGTCCGTCACCCAGGCAGCGGTGCGTAGCTTCTACAACTGGACGGGCTGCGCGCTGGGCGGCTCGCATCACCCGACCACCACGACGGCGCTGACGGCCCTGGCGCCTTTCTTTGGCAAGCCCACCTCGACCATCCTGGGTCACGCGCACACGGGCGCCGTGGACAGCGGCAAGGCGGATGCGTCGCACGCGGCCCTGATCAACGGGATTGCCTCGCACGTCCACGACTACGACGACACGCATCTCGAGACCATCATCCACCCCACGGGGCCCGTGGCGAGTGCACTGCTTGCGCAGGCCGAGGCGTTGGGCAAACCCGTCGGCGGGGACGAGTTCGTTCTCGCCCTGGTGGCCGGCATCGAGGCAGAGTGTAAAGTCGGGTTGGCTGTGTGGCCTAAGCATTATGACATCGGCTGGTTAGCTCTTTTTTCTTCTTCTTCTTCTTCTTCTTCTTCTTCTTCTTCCTCTTCGCTTTTCTTATAGAAAAAGAACTTGTCGGAAATCATGTCGACAGCAATTGAGAAAGGAAGCTCCAAAACTGACCGACCGCCTTTGCTACAGGCACATCACCTCGACGACCGGCTCGATCGGCGCCGCCGTCGCGGTCGGCAAACTGCTCAACCTCACGACCGAGCAGATGGCGCACGCCATCGGCATCGCCGCCACACAGGTGACGGGGCTGCGCGAGATGTTCGGCTCCGACACAAAGTCGTTCCACGTGGGGCGGTCGGCGCAGAACGGGCTCATGGCCGCGGTGCTCGCGTCCAAGGGGTACACATCGTCCACGCAGGCCCTGGAGGCGAAGCGCGGCTGGGTGAACGTGGTGAGCGCAAGTAACCAACTGGACGATGTGATGGCAACGCTGGGCACCGTGTGGGAGACGGCCAAGAACTCGTTCAAGCCCTTCCCCTGCGGCATCGTCGTGCACCCGATCATCGACGCTTGCATCCAGCTGCACCGCGACATGGCACAGCGGGGGCTCGCGGCCACGCAGATCACCAGTGTCAAATGCAGAGTCCACCCGCTGGTGCTGGAGCTGACGGGCAAGAAGACGCCCCAGGACGGCCTGCAGGCCAAGTTCAGCGTCTACCACGGCGGCGCGGTGGGGTTGGTGCTGGGAAAGGCCGGCCCCGCGCAGTACGAGGACAAGGTGGTCACGAGCACCGAGATCGTGTCAGTCCGCGACAGGATCGACGCCACAGCGGACGCGGGCCTGGGCGCCGACGAGGCCGAGATTGTCGTCGAGTTGGACAACGGCACGACGCTCACGAAACACGTCAAGCACGCCATCGGCAGCCTCGAGGTGCCCATGACGGAGGCGCAATTGCAGGACAAATTCATCGACCAGGTCACCCCCGTGCTGGGCGCCGAGGGGGCCAAGAAGGCCAGCGATGCGGCGTTGGCGCTCAAGGGCGTCGCTGATGTGTCTGCGCTGGCCAAGGCGTTATAAACACCCCTGTCCTGGGAGAAGAGACGGGTACGAGGAGTGAATCCGGGTACTCTCGACGACAAGAAATTCAATAGACCTCCCTCTAAGATGGGTGTGCTCTCTAATGTCCATACAAAGATGCATTCGATAGTTTCGGTCTTGAAATTCAGTGTAGCGGCAGCCCCTGAGCACAGCCGCATACTCCTAGGACATGATGCTGTTCTGCCTCGTGTCACCAGAGGAGCAGTGTGTCCAACCTCACTTGTCAAGTAGCTGTAAACCATGCTCCCTCATCAAATCCATGTGAATGCGGTCTGCCCAGGCTTTCCGGCCCACGGCGATGGTCAGACCCTTTCCAGAGAAAAATGAAACGAACGAAATGCGTTTCCAACAAGGCCCCTGGCTGCATCTCTGAACACCAGAAGATGTTGCAAAGGCTGGCCGGTGACGCTGCCACTTGGATGACGGGCAGTTTCTTGCAGGTCGAGAGCGGTTTCATTCCATGTTGACGGGTTAGTAAGGGATGAACATCTACCAAGGGTACTGGGCAAGAAGACAAGACTGGAATGAAAAACCTGGGTATGCCACTGGTATCAACATGGTGTCATCGCCGTGACAGTTTCTCGTCTTCGATCTCCTTCAGAATCCCCATTTGCCCACCCGATCCATCAGATATTGAGCCCGTGCTTTTCCTTGCATGTGGCACTTGAGTGAGCTCCAGTGTACAATGCCCCCATGCCCGATGCAGGTGGTGCAGTAGTAGCGACCATCATCTTGTTCCTCCCAATCGCGGTCTTGAAAGGCGGCGACCCCATCTTCGACGTCAGTGTTGACGGTGTTATGGGCATGACAGCTCCTCGTGTTCAATCCTTCAGAAGCTCATTTGTTCACCCGACCTTTAGATGTCGAGATGGTGCTTCTCTTCCATGTGACGCTTGAGGGAGTCCATCTCTCTGACCCGTGCCACGTGGGCCTGACTGGGGGATGCGACCGTAGGATGGGGGTTCGAGGGAGGAAGATAGACGGGGGCCATATAGCCACGCGCGATGAGTTCGAGTATGTCAGTGGACGCTCTGTCGCCCGACGCGTTGTCGGGCGGTACCTAGGTGTAGTTGACCCAGTAGTAGATGTGGCGGGCAATGTGGGATAAAGCCTCGCCCACTTTGCTTATCTGGCTGAGCGCCTCCAGTGTACAATGCCCCCATGGCTGATGCAGACCGTGCAGTAAAAGCGTCCATTGACCCTTCCTCCTAATTGCAGTCCTAGAAGACGGCGACCTCATCGTGGACGTTGGTGTTGACGGTGTTGTGGCCATGGCAGCTCCTCGTCTTCAATCCTTCAGACCCCTCATTTGTTCACCAGATCCTTCACATATCGAGCCCGTGCTTCTCTGCCATGTGGCGCTTGAGGGAGCTCCAGTGTACGATGCCCCCATGGCTGACACAAATGGTGCAATGATAGCGTCCATTGGCCCTTCTCTCCCAGTTACGGTCCTGGGATGCGACGTCCTCATCGTCGACATCGCTGTTGGCAGAATTGTTGGTGTGCTCTGTACCTTCCTCCTGATCATTGTCGACATCTTCGTTGACCCCTGCTGTGTCTTCCCACGCGTTGCCTCCAGATGCCTCCACAAACTCAATCCACTTATTGATGCAGACGTCTGTCTGCATCACCATCTCTTGTCCAGTAACAAAATGATGCCTTTCCTCTCCTTCAGAAGCATCTCTGGTTGCCTCAGCGTACACCCTCTGACGGTAGCTCATTAGGGCGTTTCGAGTCTCTGGGATAGATGACTTGGTAGACATGATACCAAGGGATGCGGTTGGGGCGGGGTCGGCAAGATTTCGGGCCTGATACTGTTGCGCCCAGTGGGCGTTGTAAAGGAGGATGTCGGAGGAGAGACCAGCGAGGAGAAACTGGCGTTTGATGATCATGGAGTATGGTTCTCCCTGAGGAGACCTTGGGAGGCACAGGCGGAGAGCGTTTTCGAATTGCACACGCTCGATGTCGTCTTGAAGATCAACATCGAGCATCTTCTCCAGGTAGGCATTCACCCCGGCTATGTAAGCAAGGCGTGGGTGTTGAAGGCTGAAGTCGTGTTCAAGGGTGTTGAGAAGGTGACTGATTACCGCGTCAACCCCGGCGCAGAGGGCAGCGGCATGCTGTGTGGACAATGGCTGGGCCATTGTAACGATCTTCGTAGAACAGATGAAAGGAGCTTGTCTGTGCACTGAATGAATGATACGGCAGGATATTTGAGCGACAATAAAAATCTTGCTGGCGCACCAGCGCGTGGCATATTCACGCTGCCCATTGATCACTGCCTGACCCATAGTGAATATTCTTGGTGAAGACGAACATTCACGCTCTCATCACGTGGGAGAAAAGTTACAACAGTAGGCCATCTTGTTTGCAACGGATCAGTTAGGACTTCTTCCTTTGCAACCCACAGTCTTTTCCACAGACAGCCTGAAGGCACGCATCGTCGAATGGGACAATCACCCGTCACCCTTGGAACATTTGTGGAACTCCGGAGAGCAGTTCGGGCAGTGAGTTGCCCTGCGTTGTGTTCCAGCTCAGCACGCCTGCAATGAACCATAGGTTAGAAGACCGTCTGGCTCTCTCTGGCGGTGACTTACCATCAGGGAGACCTCTTGCCTTCTGCCGCTTAGCAGCACCGGCCCCAGACACCGACGGATCTTTGATCCCTAGGCCGCTAGATATATATATATATCCAAAGCATAGTTGATTTGCTTTATGTTTGCATTCCAGCTGTGATGATAATGAGGCTGGCTGGAAAAAATGTTTGCTTGAACTGCCTGACGTATTGCTATCAGGCTGAAACGCTTGGACGAGGCTGGACGAGGCTGAGGTTGTGGCGACAAGGCTGAGCAGTCGAGCACTAGCGCAAACCTTAAAATGTTCGCCACACGCAATTGGCTGAAGTTTGATCTGTGAACTTTTTTCCCATGAAATTTCAAAAGCATCTCAACAGACCCAGCCTTGATGTCCCATTAATTGATGTGTCCACTGTCGCCACAATACACGTTCCCCGAGAATGTTTCGATTCATGGTGTAACTTCAAGGATGTAAGCAATTGGCGACCATGGCTACCAAAATCAACCACAAAACAACCTTTGAGGCTGCCAAAACTATCGAGCCGATTTTCACAGGCGGCGATGTGTCGCACAATGCCAGCGGATCCTTCATCGCCACCTGCGTTGATGAGGACGTCTTGATTGTCAGTGTACAGACTGGAAAGGTGCTCTGTCGTATCGAAGGGGATGGAGAAGCTGTGACAAGTCTGTGTCTGGCTCCAGATTTATACCATTTGGTCATTGCTTCGCGGTCGCTTTCTCTGCGGATATTCTCACTCAAACATCTAGAAGGATCAAACACGATAACCGCGGAGCTCACGCGCACCTTGAAACCGCATACCACTCCGGTGGTGTCATCGGCTATTGATGCCACGGGATCATTGTTGGCGACGGGAGGTGCCGAGGGCACGGTGAAGGTATGGGATCTCAGAGGAGGTTATGTTTCGCATACATTTCATGGCCATGGCGGTGTCGTCTCTGCTCTTCACTTCTTCCAATCACAGTCAACCGGCCCATCAAATATAAAGACGAGCCGCAAGCGAAAGAGTCGCGGAGATGATCAGATGGAAGTCGACGATCCATCTCCATCTCGATCTATCTACCTTGCATCTGGAGGAGAAGATGGGAAAATCCGCATATGGGATTTAGCCACCCGAAAATCCAGCGCTACCCTCGACTCTCACGTCAGTGTCGTGCGAAGCCTGGAATATTCCGAAGAGCAACAACTGCTTTTATCAGCAAGCCGTGACCGGACAATCATTCTCTGGGATGGCCGGACTTGGAAACAGCAAAGAGTCATTCCAGCTCTGGAAGTGCTGGAAACCGCCGGTTTTCTTGTGGGAGGTGGATTCTGCTACGCTGGAGGAGAACATGGAGCAGTCAGGATCTGGAACGTCAGCATGGGCCGCGAAGTCACTCCCAAGCAGAAACCAGGGCTCGAAAATGATGCAATCACAGCCATCATCCCTGTGGTCGAGGACGACGCGGTTCTGTCTATTCACCGGGATCAAACCATGAAGTTGCAGAGCGTTTCTGCCCTGCGCAGTCTCCCACCGTCAGAGTCACTGGGGTCTTTACCGGTGCTTCGGACAATCTCTGGAAATTATGATGAAGTCATTGACATGGCCTGCGTCGGTCCCGACAGGACTCTGCTAGCACTTGCCACCAATACGGAAAGCCTCAGATTGATTTCAATTCAAGATACTGAGAAAACAACAAACTCCAAGCCCCCAGAAGGTGTCGAGACTTTCGGCAACGACGTTGCGTTGCTTGAGGGTCATGAAGACATCATCATCTGCTTGGATGTCGACTGGTCAGGCTACTGGGTAGCAACCGGTGCAAAGGACAATACCGCAAGGTTGTGGCGATTAGACCCTGCTTCATCCTCGTACGAGTGCTTTGCCGTTTTCGCAGGACATGCAGAATCCTTGGGGGCCATCGCATTACCCAGAAGCCCACCGACGGATGGCCCAGCTTTGAGGAATCCAGCACTACACCCGCCAGCATTCCTCTTGACGGGTTCACAAGACAAGACGATCAAACGATGGGACACAGGGAAACTGAAGTATGACCAGTCAGCAACAGAACCACAAACTGGCACCAAAGCCTTGTTCACTCGAGTTGCGCACGAAAAGGATATCAATGCCATGGACGTGTCGCCCATCTCGCCACTGTTTGCTTCAGCGTCTCAAGACCGCACTATCAAGGTGTGGTCTCTGGAGGACGGCTCGGTGACGGCGGTGCTGCGCGGCCACAAGCGAGGCGTCTGGTCTGTCCGCTTCTCTCCCGCAGGGACTCCTCCGCTCTCTCTCCCGGATGGGGGATCAAGTGGCGCTCGCGGACTGCTTGTGAGTGGATCAGGGGACCGAACAGTCAAAGTGTGGTCGCTTTCGACCTACACCTGTCTTCAAACGTTCGAAGGGCACAGCAATTCGGTGTTGAAAGTCGTCTGGATTCCCCCCACCACTGATTCCGAGACCCAAGATGATGACGATGCTGGAGAAGATAATGCCCGGCCCTTTCAAGCCCGATCCAATAATCAACCTTTAATAGCGTCCGCATCCTCTGACACACTCGTCAAGATTTGGTCCCCATACTCAGCGGCCGCCGCAGACTCGGACCATCTCCTGACGACTCTCGACAACCACACCGATCGCGTCTGGGCACTGGTCGCGCCAAACTCGTATCCGCGTATACCGTCCTCTTCGAGCAAAAAGCACAGCAACAAGTCACAACCTCAACAGCCCTATCCTTACTCGCTAATATCAGGCGCCGGCGACGCAACCTTGACATTCTGGCGTGACACCACTCTACAAACCACACTACTGGCGTCCCAACGCGCGACCGAGCGGATCGAACAAGACCAACTCCTCCAGAACCACATTTTCGGCAAAAACTACCGCGAGGCTATTACCCTGTCTTTGGCGCTGGGCCACCCTGGTCGACTACTGCGGGTGTTCGAGGATGTGGTCACTTCGTCCGAGTCCCAGAAGGAGCGGACCGAGGATGACCACCACGACGGCGACGATGACAATAACCGCAGCAACAGCAGTATAATGGGCTCCAAGGCGGTCGATGACGTCCTCGCCTCCCTGGACAGGACACAACTCTGGCAATTGCTGGAGCACGTACGGGACTGGAACACCAATGCCCGCACAGCCCCCGTCGCCCAGAGAATCCTCAATTGCCTGCTGCGTTCGTACCCGAAGGACGTGTTCGTCGAGATGGCCAGGGACAAGAAGCTAGTAGGCGCTGCGAGTGGCAGGATGGAGCCGACAGCAGCAGGAGGGAAAACGCGGAGCGGAGCGGGTGGTGGGATGAAGGAGCTCCTGAGAGCGTTGGAGGTCTACACGGAAAGGCATTACAAGAGGATGGAGGAGTTGGTCGACGAAAGCTACCTGATTGAGTACACGCTGCGGGAGATGGATGAGGTTGCTGGCGTCTCGGCTGCGGGTGGACTGAATGGGTCGCTACTACTCGCCAACGGGCACGAGGCGCAGGATGGAGATATTGTCATGGTATGATTTCCAAGAATGATGACCACGCCTCTTCTTGTGCATGGGAGGGGAAAAAGATCATAAATGGGCATTCATAGTTCCTCGAGGCGCAGACTTCTTCCGTCCATTGAAGCTTCGAGTGGTTGTTCGTCCCACATTTTCTTTCCTAGGCTAGTCGACATTATCTGTCTCGGTGGCGACGATCGCTCTCCCTTTCCCTGTACCTATCTCTGTCACGGTCTCTGTCTTTGTCTCTGTCCCGATTCCTGTCCCTGTCCCGGTCGCGGTCTCTGTGACTTCGGTGGGACGAACTGGAGTCGTACCTGTCTTCGTCTCGATAGCGGTCCCGATGTTTGGCTCGGCGTCCGCTATCGTTGTCGCCTCCACCATCCCCGTCTTGCCTTCGATCTTGTGACCTATCTTCACCACGTCTTGATCGCGAGCTTTCATAGTCTCGGTCATCTCTGTCCCGCCTCGAACGAGAATCTTCACGTCCGTCACGATCCTGCCTGGAAGAGCTGGAGCGAGAGAATGAATTCATCTGCTCTCGGTAGTCATCATCTCCGTTTCTGTGCAGGTCCTTGTCTCGATGCCGCTCCCGACCACTAATCTCCAGATTGCGATCTCTGCGCTGTTTCCAATCCTCATCTTGTTTAGCACTCCGCGACTCTTTCACTCGTTTCTGGAACTCGTCCTCCGAAATGCGTTCTCCAGTGGCCTTGTTCTCGCGCATCAGTGGCGTGAAGAACCCTTGTCCTTTCGTATTCTTCCGCATGTCAGCCTTTCCCCACGCACCTAACTCGATATCTGACCCAGGGGCTGCCTTTGCCCCAATTCCTAGAAAGCCTTCCTGCTTGCGCAGTTTTCGTGGGCTGCTGTCATTTTTTGGATTAAGATCGATAACCTCTCCATTGGCGCGGCGTTTTTGGCCCATGCCTCTTAGCATGGCCATCCCAAACTCCTCTACAGGCATGGCGGCGTATTCCTCGAGGGTGCTTGAATCCGGCCTGGAAGCGACATCGTCTCGGAAGTCTTGCGTCTCGTCTTGGGGTGAGAGCGGTCTGTTTCCTTGTACTGAAATGACAGCATTCGACCTTGGTTTGCCGGAACCATCGTCTAACAGTGCCTGCAAAGCTTCCTCATCCGCTGTCAGCTGCTTGGGCTGTTCAGTGGGGTGTTCCTCCTGTGGCTGTTGACTGCCCTTCGTCTGATCTTTATCCTGCGCGTTCTTTTTGACGAACTGCAGGCCACTAGCCGTGCTGACCTCGTCTCGCTCTATCATAACAATGCCACCACCGTCCTGCTGTTGCGCTTGAACTTCCGCAGGGAGTATGTTTCTTCGCCCATGCCTGCGCCAGTCGGCATTGCCGGCATTCGCTATCACTTTCACTTGAGATTCCTGTAAGGGTTGACTTAGAATAACACCATTGGACGAGAAGCCAGAGACTGACTCGTGCCTTGGCTCTTCTTTATCTTCGTTGTCCGAATCGTGGCGGAGAGCGGTTCGTGAGGGCCGGCTGTTCGAAAGGGCGGAGGGTTTGTGGGGAGCCGTCCCTACGGCGAGGGGGGTTCCCGCGGGCTTTGGCTTGCCAAAGCCGAAGGAGATAGGCTTCGACATGGCCGCAGGATCGAGGACCAGAAAACTGGCCAACTTGTGACTCTAGGTAGCAATACCGCAAACAAGTTCAAGATTTGGGGTATTCTCTCGGCAAACCTTCTCTGGATGCACCAGCCGCCAAGACCTTGATATCAGAGTTTCCCAGTTCCACAGGCTGCAGAGATGCCAACTCGTGCCACTGCAGTGCGATTCATCTCTCGACTCACCCTGACCATGCGCATGTTTTGAAGGACGCGCTGGCAGACGCCTTCTTGCCAGATTGCATAAAATCGACTTTACAAAGAGGCTCGCTCTCCGCCGTCCGCCCTTACTCGCCGCCCCTTACACGCGTGTCGCGCGCCAACCCATGTTTCCCCACCTTCACAAAACCCGTTGAGCGCCGCCGCTCAAAGTTCAGCATAAATCCTTCTCACGACAATGGCGTCGCCACAAACCGAGATGGCAGACACTAACGGATCCCTCCTCACCGCTTCTCTCAAGCATATTGAGGATATACGCAGTCTCTCTGTGTGCAAGATCTGCATGAGATCCTTGTACGAGCCGTTCATCCTCTCGTGCGGTCACACCTACTGCTACTCGTGTCTTGCCAGCTGGTTTGGTGGGGCGCTGAGGAGGAGGAGCAAGAAAAACTGTCCAGACTGCCGGGCCAGGATAACGGCTGAACCATCTCCTAATTACATCCTTCGAGATCTGGTCCACATGTTAACTGGTCGAGCCGAGTTGCTACCTGAAGACGAGACTTTACAGGAACACCAGCTGGCCAAGGACGTGGAGGCAGCTCAGGTCGCGGCAGATCGCACTGGACCTGGCCTTTTCAAAGGTATTTTCGTGAGACCGATACGTGGCCAGCTCCGCTGGGGTCAAGGAATTCTAGATCCCGAGGACAATGTCCTCCGGTGTCCCGAGTGTCACTGGGAACTTGAAGATGGTGAATGTCCGCACTGTGGTTTCCATGAAATGTATGATTCGAATGGTCCGCTCGAGTCCGATTTCGACTCGGATAGCGTGACTGACTTGGAGGTCGCTGCAATCGAGGATCCATGGGGCTTCGGATTAAGGCGTCGACATAGCTTGAACTGGCATCATCACGAGATATCCCCCGCATTAAGTGAAACAGACGAGGAGGACGACTATGGCGAGGAGGATGATTTGGATGACTTCATCGACAATTCCTTAGACGAGGACAATGACGACACAAACAGCGAGTCCACAATGACCATGTACAACCGTCAATGGGCAGAGAATACAAGGCACCACAATGCCCGGAATCACGATGCCTCGGATGCTGAAAGTCAAGCATCTGCAGACAGTGGTCATGATCACTTTGGTAGATATGGGGACTACATTCACCGTCTGCGAAATGAAGTTTGGGGACCATCCGACGCAGAGACAAACTACGATGAAATGACAGAAGCCTCTGAGCACGAGACTACCTCGCCCCCAGCAGACTTGGAAAGATCAAGAGCATTGCGGGCTATCGCGAGGCGACGTGTCGTGAGTGACGACGATGACGACGATGACGATGAGGGTGAGGAAGAAGAGGGACAGGAGGAGGATGGAGATGAAGAACCCGAGGATGAAGATGAAGATGACGATACACAGCACTCGGAAACTGAGGGCGATCAGAGTCACTCCGAGTCCGAAGAATCAGATGTACGACCGCCCCAGCCGTCGTCTCGACGGAGACAGCATTTGCAGAGTCAACGCGCCCGACGAAACGACTCTAACCATCAGTCCAATATGGAGGGGGCCCAGAGACGAAACAGCCCTGTCAGGCAACAGTATCGCCATCGTCAGAGAAGCAACATACCTAGGAACAGCGCTTCAGGGCGAAGGACCGGCTACCAGCAACCTTTCGAAAGACCAGGGTATAATCCGGGGATGCAAGTCGGACGCATAACGGGCTATTCTTTGTGATAAGATTTAGTTTCAGCGGCTGTCATTACGTGTCTGAACAACTTCTAGCATGGCGTCTAGCAAGAAAGGGGGGATTTGCGTGGGAAGATAGACATTCCGGGCAACCGCCATTTCAGCATCGCAGGTACGGAAACCCGGGAGATGGGTCTGGTCTGCGGACCGGAGAGACGTGTATCTGAAGAGGTACCAAGACATTTCTACTGTAGAACGTGGTACAATGCGTGTGCTCTGAATGAATGGAACCCATTTTCTGCATTCGAGCCACTTGGACAAAAACCCATTCTACGCCGACGCTATGCATAAGGCATAATCAATTGAGTGTCCCTTTGATTCTCCCCTTCTGCACCTCTAAGCAGCTAGAACCTGTTTACTAGTATCATACTCCATATCCACGATGCCGTCTTTCTTGACCACTTTCACCGTCATTCCCTTGAAATCGATCGGTAGACGTCGCTGTAGTTCGTCCGTGCACATGCGCAGAATCTTCATGCCCTGTTCGAAGGAGATGTCTGGGTGGTGGTGTTTGTCAAGAATAGAGAGACAGTAATACCTGCATATCCACCGTCAGTCGATCACGTCGTCCTGGATTATCCATACGATCAAAAGTTCCTGGGGAACAACTCACTGAGCATATCCATGAGCCGCATACGGCACCTTCACACTACTCGCAAGGTAATCCAACCAATAAAGACTCGGCTCCCTCGTAATCGGATCGACACCCCCCAGTAACAAGTTCACCGTATATGGTTTCCTGCTCCTCAAACTCCGCGCCAACTCTCCTCTCACGAAGCTAGCCACCGCGGAAGGACCCAGATCCGTCTCATTGCGCATAGAGTAGAGAGCGACATTTGCTTGGATGAACTCTGCGAATTGTACAGTGTCGCCTGCTTCGCCAGAGAAGGCCAAAAGGGTGTGTTTGTTGAGTTGTCGGGTCTTGTCGTCGCTGGACTTGAGGATCGTGGCGCCGCGCATGGCAGCTTTGGAGGCGGCAATGATGGTGAAGTCCCGGCCGGTGAGACCGAGGAGAACTTCCCTAAAGAATTGCTGTTAGATACTTGGCTGGATTGCAGCCCGGACGGAACAAGGCCTTACATTTTGACTAGGACTATTGAGGTGGTAAAATCGCTTGTATGTAACGGCAGATGACCTCGAATGAACACTGCTCAGATCTTTGTGTCTGCAGAGCGATACTCAGGACTAGTAGGTCGTTTTCGGTGAGTTGATCGTAGACTGAAAGTGGGTGTGTGAGTTCAATTGCTCGAACACGCACGCGAAGCTCTGCCTTGAAGACACAAGGCTGGGCTGGCCCTTCTATAAGAGGAAGGTGCGGCGAGTGGAATTTTCCAACGAGGCTGCGCTAGGAAACTGCAGATTTGCCCGCATCTCAAAAAGTTTTTGGAGAAATTCATCTCGCCGCAGTTGACTGCTAGTCCACACTGGTGGCATTCAACCTGCAAAGACGCCCAGATGTCTTCCTTCTTCACCCTTCCCGCATCACAGAGGAAGAGAAAACGAGAAAATCCTGCCCCGGGCAAGGCGAGGAAAAGGCGGGAGGTCGAACGTGAGGACCGAGCACGAGAGCAGCCAGACAACAACCTTCGTCGGAAAGGCAAACAACCCCGGGATCAAGATCGACAGCGAAACGAATCAATATCTGGGAGCGAGTCTGAAGACGAGATCCAACCAGAAAGCGATGTCGAGCAGTCAGAAGCTACCTCCGAAGAAGACGAGACTGCGGCCGAGCGACGAGTCAGGCTTGCACAACGATACTTGGATAACATCAGGCAAGAGATAGACGAAACTGGGTTTGATGCCGAAGATCTTGACAGAGACTTGATTGCACAACGACTGAAAGAGGACGTTGACGAGGCAAAAGGCAGACAGTATCGACTGATTGCCCAGAATCTGGATTTTGCAAATGCTACTCACACTGCTTTTCGTGCGGACACGGAATCGACTACTGGCGTTGCAGTTTGTCAACCTTATGTGTACACCGTGAGTAAGGACAAGACCCTGATAAAATGGCAACTTCAACCACCGAGCACCTCAGACGGGCAAAAATCAACAGCTTCACGCCGACGGCGGCCGGAACAACTGGCGTATGCTCGAGGCATCAAAATCAGGGCATCAGCGCCTCAGCAGCATGGCCATACCGCACGGATTCTTTCTGTCGCAGCCTCACCGGACGGCAAATTCGTGGCCACGGGGGGAGCGGACAAGAAACTTATAATTTGGTCAGCAGAAGACCTGCGGCCATTGAAGACATTCACCACGCACAGAGATGGAGTTACGGGACTTGCATTCGCACCAAACTCAGCGAGTCGAGGCGGCTTTGGTCAACAGCTGTTCAGTGCAAGCATGGATCGCTCCTTGAAAACATACAGCTTGGCTGGTGAGGATAGTCTTGCGTACGTGGAGACATTGTTCGGTCATCAAGACCATATTGTCGATGTCTCGGCCGTGTCCGTGGATCAGTGCGTAACAGTTGGCGCTCGAGATCGAAAAGCCTTGTGGTGGAAGGTTGTGGACGAATCTCTCACCAAGTTTCTGGGCGACAGTTCCAAAAACGATGAGTACCAGGCTGGCAGTCTGGATTGCGTGGTTGCCTTGCCGCCGCAGAACTTTGTGACAGGTTCTGACGCAGGCACTATCAGTCTATGGAATATTCACAAAAAAAAGGCTGTTTTCACCATTCAGATTGCACATGGTGTGGAAGAGCCGCCTCCATTTGAAGAGGTGACCTCCGAAGTAGATCCGAAGGTTATCGAGGCATTGAAAAAAGATGACAGGCGAAGACCAATCCCCCGGGCTATCACTGCTTTGGCGGCTGTGCCTGGCACTGATGTGGTATTGAGCGGGAGTTGGGATGGTTGGATCCGTGCATGGAAACTGAGCGATGACAAAAAAGCGCTATCTCCTCTTGGACCTGTGGGAAGGGTTGAGGAAGGTTCGGAGTTGCAAAATGGGGCCGTCAATGGGGGGTCAGACCAGAGGAACGGGCATGTGAACGGGGATACTAATACGGCCAAGGATAGGACGGCTGCATCAGCGCATGCACCACAGCGCCCAGTGCGTGGCTTTGTCAATTCTCTGGCAGTGTTCGAGCGAAGAAAACTCATCACCAACGAATTTGGAGGCAAGAAGGAAGGCGAGTGTCAGGGTCTGTGCATCGTGGCTGGCACTGGCAAGGAGATGCGGTTGGGACGGTGGAGGAAGTTGCGCGAAGGGCGGAATGGTGCGATAGTGTTTGAAGTGCCATTGAAGTCGAGCTAGGAGCAGGAGCTCCATAGGAGATAGGAGACACCGTCGAATAGCTCAGTAGTCGAAGCCTCGTGGAAGTCACTGAGGCTGAGAGGGAGACAAGGCTGGGTTCACGTGACCATGTCTTGGCACGGACCACGCTACAAATTCTTCGTGTCGAGTTTCACCTTTGATCTCTTTCTTCTTTTCTCCTCTTCAGATCAAAAAAAGCAACAGAGCCAGCCACGACCGTCGTTTCGTTCTTTTCTACAGCGACGTGTTGCCATGAGCTCTTTGTAAGCTCGATGGCTCTGGAGAACAACTTTTTTCCTTGTAGGAAGTTTCCTTCTCGTTGGGTCCTCTTCGGTGAGGGCGATGAGTTTGAAATGTCGATTGATAGGAAACATCTCTCCCATGTGCCCCCTCTCCTTCAATTTCTGGTCTGTCCTATTAAGGTGGCCGTTCAAATGATTGACCGAATCCAGACTGCACAATCTGAAGTGGGTTAAGTTGGACATTTCTGAGCTTTGAATGATTCCAGGCCCCCTCTGCAGCTGCTCCCGGTGCTTGTGGCAACCAGAGTCATATCATGTGCAGACGGCAAGAATTTGGCAATTTCAACCGCCAAGTCTCGAGAAATGTCATGGAACGTGCGCTACATTCTCTCCTTCTCTGCAAATAAGGTGGGTTGTTGTTGAGTTGGTTGTTTTGCATTCCAGAGGCCGCGTTATGTGGATCATGCTGCCCTCGCCGCACGGTGATTGTGCCCAAGGTAAATATCATGCGCAACAGCACAGAGTTCCCTCTTGGTTTCTTTTACTCCTCGACAGGCTCGTTTCTTTCTCCGAGACTCATCACGCTCGTTTGGCAGTGTCTCTTTTGTTGTCCTCCCAGTCACTCCTTTGGAACATTGATTTTCAACTTCCTCCCCTGGCTCAACCGTAGTAAGCAAATTCTACAACGAAAAGATCATACGCTGCATATTGCCCGGACCTGAAAAATGAAGCGATCGACGCGCACCAACATGCCTTTGGCGGCACTCCTGATTGCCGCGGCCAACGCGCAGACAACCACAGTCGTCAATGACCCTGCGGACACTGCTGCAACTACCGTGTACTATTCCGTCTGTCCGACTGCCCTGACCACAACCACCACCTTGTCCAGCACCGTCACTTTCTGCCCCGGTCCCAACTGCAACGGGGGTGGTGCCGTGATCACACCTCCTCCCAGCGGTCCAACAGGCACTGAAATCCTCTCTTACACCACCACCCTTCCGAACGGCGATGTCGAGGAAATCCACGAGTATCTCACCATCTACCCCCAGATCTGCAGCAACGGCCAGTCGATCGGTCAAGCCACTTACACCATTACAGAGACTTGCGCATGCGAATCTACCAAGAACCCAGCCTCCATTCCCGAAGGCTTCACTACTACTGTTATGTCTTGCGATATTTGCAACAATGGCGGAGCCACCACCATGACTATTACTACGCCATGCTCAACCGGTCCTTATGCCACGCAGACTCCTGTCATTGGACCCACCGGCGGTGCCGGTGCTCAAGCACAAGCAGCAGCAAGTGCAGCAGCTAGTGCACAGGCCGAGGCTGCTGCGACTGCGGGGGCTGGCTCGTCCGGTGGAAGCAGTGGCGGCAGTGGTTCTTCCGGGACTTCAGGTACTGGCTCCGGTGGCACCAACGCCAATGCTGCCGCCAACGCCAATTCAAATGCCAATGCTGAGGCTTCCTCTAACGGTCCTGTTGCTGGCTCGAATTCGGCTTCGAATTCGGCTTCATATGGTAACTCTGCTGCTGGTGCCAGTAACGGCGAATCCGGTGCCCAAGCCAGCGCAAGCGCCGCCGCCAGTGCCGCCGCCAGCGCTGAAGCTGCGGCCAGTGGAATCAACAGCGGCAACACCTACACGAACGGCACCGGCAACAATAGCACTATTTCACCGCCCATCACGCCTGTTGTCCCCAGCGGTGCCTCCGGCGCGGGCGCCAGCAATGCTAAGTTTACAGGTTCTGCCGATAAACTGGGCTATACCGTTTCTGGGGTCTTCGCTGTTGTTATGGGATGTTTAGCGTTCGTGCTGTGACGCTGTTGAGTGGGACTGGCACACCCGCGATTGGTAGGGTGGACAGATATTTTTGCTGGGGGCGTGGATGGATTCTCTTGTGGGTTAGGGGAAACCTGTTCTTGTTTATCTGGAACATATTGCAATGTATGGACGGCATCGCACTGAATATTGACCTTTCAACGCGGATAGGCTTGGTTTGATGGAAGGGAGTGGCGTCTGGGACACTCGGGTGTGGTTGTCATGGTCGTTGTGGTCATCGTTGTGTGCAGATGGACCGACGCGGTGTTTTTGCAGTGAGGAACGTAGAAGTTACTATTTGCATCGAATCAATCAACATTTGCTAAAACCCTGGATCTGCTCGACGCCCTCGTCGCCTTCCCTACTGTGTACATACTTAGTACATAGTACTCTCCGCTCGGTAGGTGGTACTATGTACCTAGGTATGTATGAGTCGCTCAATGACCCGAAATTTCTCACGGACCGAGAGAGTCCTTGGTAGTAGCACTTCCCGACATCAGTAGAGATCATAAAATGCACCGTCCACGAAACAACTCGAACTTGAAATACATTGATTAAACTCCAAGTTTTAGCCCTCACCTTTCCATCTCTTTCCCTTACTCCACGTTTTTATTCTCCAATTCCAGCAAACCACTGCACATCTCTACTGCTACTCACTTCGTAGCACTAGCACCATACCGCCCTCTGGAAGGTGGCGCCCGTCAATCCAAGCCTTGACAGTCTCTGCGAACAATCGAGAAAACTGCAGATGCCAGGTGTGAACGCCTCCTCGGATCATGGCGGCCTCGCTCTCACCGCACCCTTGTCTCAGTAATCTGGCCATCCTGCGAGTCGCCTCGACGTCGTCATGCGCTTGACCAGCGACGGTCAAAGTTCTCACGCGCAGCGAGCACAGATCCTTCTCGGCGAACTGGGCGATGCCTCTGAACCCGTCTGACAGGAGGTGCCTGCTGAAGTTCCTCCTCTCCTCCTCCCGCAAACCGTCCGGCTTTCGCACCCCAAGCCACCTACAGATTGCCCTGTCGATCCAATTGGGGCTGTATTTCGAGATGGGAGCTTCGAGGTAGTACAAGAGAGTCGGGTGCTCGGCGAACCATCTCCTGTACCCAGCGAAGGGCGCCGCGCCGGTGACGAACAGGCTTTCGACGACCTCGGGATGTCGCTTCGCCAGCTCCAGAGCGACAAAACCTCCCACGGACGAGCCCACCACGTGAGCACGACGATCGCGAGCTTCATGCTGTATTACTCGAGCGACATGATCGGCTGCGTCTGGGAGGTTGAACGGAAGAATGTGGGACGATCGCGAGTGGCCTGGGAGGTCAACGGCGAGGAGGTGATGGTCGAAAAGACTTGGGTGTTGGAATACGTTCCTGAATTCGGCGTGGTTGGAGCAAAGGCCATGCAAGAAGATGATGGTAGGACCAGCATCGCGGTTCAATGAGAGCGAGAAAAGAGTCGGAGTCTCGTCGTCGTCGTTGGACATGATTCCTGGGTGGAAAAGGACTGCTGCTAAACTAAGTATTGCCTTCCCCTCTTCAAGGCGCATCCTCGCCCCGGCTCGAAAGTAGATACGATGTATGTATGTACCGAAGCCAGCCTGAGACCTAGAATGTACCCATAAGCTACTAAGTACTAAGTATGTATGTATGTAGTAATATGTAAGTACTAGTATATAGTACATGGTAGGCAGACGCATTTCCATGCACAATACTATGTAGTAAGTACCTAGCGAGTAGGTACATAGTTAGTCTACATAGTACTAATCTTCGCACGCCAAGATATACCAAAGCTAACCCATATTAGGCCTAGTGGACAATGACTCATGTACACTAGCCCATTTTTGGTTTTCGTACCTAGTACTTAGTACATACTTATATGTAGTACATACATACTATGTAGTCAAGTAAGGCCAGCTAGTCAAGTTCGAGCGGATTTCGTGCGGTGTTCATCACGACATGGTCAGTTTAGTGTCAAAACACCCACCACCTGCCTGATTCCGAGTCTTTAGGCTTTCCTACCTTTTTCTGGAGACCTTGGCGACGACAGGCTTCAAATTTACAGTAGTAGGCTCCGGAACCGAGGTTCTAACTCGATTCCAGCTCGACAGCAGCTCAATATACTAAGTACATACTACTTGGTAAGTACTTGGTAAGTACTTAGTAAGTACTATGTAGTATGTATGTAGTATGTATGTAGGCTCGACTTAAACTCGACATACTTAGGCTCGATATGTATAGGCTCGACATAGGCTCGATATAGGATTCACATGTACTCGATATGTATATAAGTACATAGTATATGTACACAGTCCATAGTACTATGTAGTACAGACTCGAACTGATTTGCGTCCAATCCAGTTCTTACTGTTCTAACCCTCAGCGAACCAGGTGAAATCAGTCGAAATCGGTCCGACTCGGCCTCGATCCGCTTCCGATCTAATTTGAGAGCGATCCGTAAATGGATTATGCTCAACTTGATCCTGATTCTTCAAATGAAATTCAGAATGCACTGTGTACCGACTGAATCGGTTTGTAAGCTTTTGTACTTACTACATATGTATAGTAGTATGTACTTTAATGAATGTTAGGGCCCCATCAACTTATCGAGTTTGATCAACTTACTATAGAGCTTTGCCAATTTGCAGGGTCCACTCGATATATAGCGGTGACACAGTTTGTAGGGCGGACTTAGGTTGTAGAGTTGGATCGATTTGTATAGTGGACTCGGTTTGCAGGATTGAATTGATTTACGAGCTTTGGATCGATTTTCTAGGTTTGGCTTGCCAGGTTTGACTTGCCAGGTTTGACTTGCCAGGTTTGACTTGCCAGGTTTGA